ACCTAATTGATCATAAAAGAAATCAATGAATCAATCCCCTAAATAATGAGACATTTATTCCCTATGATAACAACAGGACAACTCAAATCCATATTGGCAATCAGGAGAATGAAGATACTATCATGTGGATGACTAACAAAAATGGAAACTAGAATTTCAAATCAAGATATATTGGTTTCATAACCCAAGTCTTATCTATAACCCTGGGAAATCAACTACAATGATACATACGTGATTTGGAAGAAGTTTGGAGCATCAAGAGTCAGCCTAGAATAAAAGCACTTTGTTGGTGTGTCCTAAACAAATTTATTCAAATAAGGAGTGAGCTAAACAAAAAAGGGATAAATTATCCCTTATCTTTTCTCATATGTATTAAGTATGAGTAGATTATAGATCACACCTTTAAGATATGTGATTGTACCAGAAAAATATGATTTGGATCTAGACTGGACATAAACTTCACTAATGATCATAATGGTCAAATAATTGATTGGTTTTGGGACACGATAAATACTAAAGACAAAGAAACCATGAATATTATTATGACCATTATTTCCAACATCTAGTGGACTAGAAACATAGAAATATTAGAAGAGATGTCAATCCTCATTGAAGAGACTGTCAAGTATACTGAAAATATCAACAACTAAGAAAATCCAAATCAAAACAACAAGAACAATATGAGGGGTGAAGTCAACTCTTTTTTCACCTTCTAGTATTCTTAAAAGTGTTATTGTTATTTTTTTATTATGCATTCTTTATAGCCCCTAACAATCACACTTTTTGTATTCTTTATGAAATTCTAGCACACAAGTATCAGATGTCAAGACAGGTGTCACAACACTGGGATTAAAACAGCTTGAGCACACAAATAAAAATGCTGATATTTAAATTACAGAAAAGTAAAAATAACACCAGCACTTGTTAACTCAGTTCGGTGCAACTCACCTACATCTGGGGGCTACCAAGCCAGGAAGGAAATCCAATATGATAGTAAACTCCCCCATTTACAACTTTTCGCCTAATCCCTACCTTGTGCAACTTCTACCTAGATACCCTCTAGATATGAGATCCACTTCTCATTTTCTAATCAGTCACAATCCCAGTGACAATTCAACAAATACACAAAATAGAAGTAGCACACTTCTAAGATAATACTTGATTTTGCTTAAAAGCTTCAACCAAGATTAATACACTCTTGTTTAAAATCTTTAGAGTGGACAATGAATAATTAAAAATGAATCAACCTCAATGCATCATAAGATACATGAGTGGCATACAATTAACAAATACTAAACCCTAAAGACCAACCAAAACATGGCTAATCCTTATTTCCTAAAATTCTTCATGTTGTGTTCTCTACCACAATAGGGTTTGGTCTTCACTTTAAGTAGCCTTTAGACCTAATGGACTTGGGCTCTTGAAGTGCACAAATAGCAGCAATCAGTTTAAACTCATTGCAAATTATGATGCACAATAAGAGGAACAAAATACAAATTTTCCTAAAAAGGTTCAAGGAACCTTTTTATGAAAACTAAAAGAATCTGTCATAACAGAAATTTCCATAATATACTTCCATGAATATCGCACACGTGTGAATCAAAACACACTAAAAAATCACACTAAAAATACCAAAATAGTCATGCCCTAACTTTCTGGTATCATGTTCTGGAACATGTCATAACATCATGAAGAACATGATGTCTGACTGTCATGGCAGAACATCTGGTTTAACATCTTGCTAAAAGCATGTTGTTTTACCAAAATGTAGTCAATCCAAAAATCACAAAACTTTCACTTTCAATTTCTTGCTTTATCGCGAAGTCCTTAATTTATCAAAACTTGTGCTTACCTACTAATTATTTCCATCCCCTAATTTTTTTTGCATATAATAAGTTGGATAAAGACTATGATCTAGATAAGGAAGACGTTGAAGAGTGGTCTCTAGGGAAGCTTATTTAAGGGATGGCCCTCGAAATTTGGCTCATTCAACAATCCTGCTACTAGAGTAACCTAGACAGAGAAGTTCTCCCTAGACCAGAGGTGATGAGGCGCATGAGTCCCTCATCCGTCTAATGGTAAGTTTATTCATATGCGTTTATTTATAACAGTTAGCTATGGTCCTCAAAAAGAGGGGGTGAACGATAACCCTTATTTCTGAGAACCTATCTCCAAGAGATCACAAGAAGGAGTGCCCGGTTCAGACATGTTAGATCTCGTAGGGAGCTACTGTAACTCAGTGCTAATAATGTCACCTTTATTCCTTTCCAACCCTTGTCTTAGCATAATTAGGGTGTTTCATTATTATGTCTCTGAATAAGATTATGTGTAATTTGCGAGTAAAGCAGAGATGTTCGTCAAAAGGAGATATAGAAAATGTCATATTAGATACATAGAGCTACCTCGTTGAATTTTGAAGCCATATGAAATGGTGGGGCTCTGGCACTACAAAGTATTCGAAGAGAGAATTAAGTCTTCCAAGAACGTCTTAATGGAGTTATTTTTAAATTGGACAAATGTCTTCATGAGATCACTAAGTTATGAAAGCTTCTAAAAGAAGTGGGTTATGGGGTGAAAATTTAGAGTTTCTCTCTTTGCTAGACGAGAAGGTGAATAAGTTAGTCTTAGACATAAGGGAAAATGAGATTGTTCTAACCACTTCCCAAGAGACATTCTATAATAGAGGAAATGTTATGGCCAATGTGAAAGGGGCTCTAGAATCTTCTTATAAGACAACATGGGAATTAGATGAGGTTGTGAGTGAAGCTCTCAGAAGTTTAAAAGAGGTTCAACAGAATTTGTCGGAGGTGGAGTCTTGAAAGATTTATCTAACCAAAGAATATGCAAAAATAAATGAGTTTAGCTACTATATCATGCAAGCAAACCTTCTAGAATTCTTTGAAGCATGTAGAATTATTTTACCCTGAGGAAAAGATCTCGAGGGAGAAGATGTGTCTCAAACATAAAATAGTGGATGGTACTTGGAGCAAAACCTGCTCAACAATCTTTTTTGTGCCTGGTGGTCTTCTTTGGATCTTTCCATCTTGTAAGGCTAGAGTTGGCTTCATGATTACTTGTAAAAGCATCGCTATTAAATTTAATGTTTCTTTTTTTTTTTACGTTACTTTATACTTTCTTTATTTTTTAATTCCCTCCTTTTATGATGTGATATTCATCTCGTCATTCTTATCGTCTTACTTTCAAGGTTATTGTTCTCGGTCATTTGTAGTCAATGTGGGGTCATGCCTGGTTGATTTATTGAAAGTCTTTGAGGAACGCATCCAGCCAAGGGTTTGATCTTCTACTCTGTCCTAAGTGAAAATTTGGTTTGAGGCCGATATGAGAAGATGATTCACCTCTTATTCCCTAGAGTAGCTAACTACCAAGAAAGGATGAGCTTAGATCACCAAATTTATGTTGGAGGTTTCAGTGTCCCTGACCATGTTACTTCTGATATTAAGGATGTTAGTGCTTTAATCACACAATAGGCGTGTCTATGACAACACCTCATTTCTACTCCATATTAGATTGTGTTATATGAGTAGGTTGTTTCTACGTTTTACCTTGTGTAATTGCTAAAAAGGATGGAACAACAACAAACCCTTCAAATTTATATGACCTAACGATGGAGGGAATGAAATCTAATCAGAAGAGGTGGTTTGAGAGGTTATTAGAATTGGTCTGCTTGCTCCAAGGTGATGAGAAGGATCTTTATGAGTGGAGATGAGGATCGACACAACGGCGTCAATGGCAGGTGCAATATTGTGATGAGAGGCTAATCGAATTGCTTTGGAAGCTACCATTGTTGACAATTATGAAAATTCGAAGAGATCAGATCTTTTTACAATAACGATTGTGGCAGTGCAATGAAGGAGATTAGATGCATTCGACATAGAATTCTGTGAGAGTCAAGAAAGGATTCCCTTAGACAACCATTATTTTGATGTGGAACATGAAATATGTGATGTGTTAAGCAAGTGCACAGTGGAGTTCTTTCGGTACTGCATTAGGAGTCTCTGATAAGTGCATGGAATGTACCTATAAAGTTAGCACTTTAATACCATACCAGCGAGATCAAAGACATGTTATTTACATGTATAAAATAAATCGTACTCTGATGTAACACTATTTTGATGTAGCATGAAACTTCATTTATATATGAAGGACGGTTATAACCTCCTTTTGTGTTTAGCACTAGTGTGAGATTAATTTCCAAAAATCTATTTATTAAAGATCTACTTATTCGTCACTCTTAAGCAAACAAACTTCAAAATTAGACCTTTGATTTGGAACAATCTTATTGCCCATAAGAAACATATTTTTTTTTTTACTATAAAAGGGTCTATTTACCGTGGTAGTTTTTAAAAAATATGCCCCATAAATAGTCATATAGATATTCACAATTTTAAAAATATGTACTAAAAAAAAGGATAGTTTACTTTTTTTTACATAAGTGTACAATGCACCCAAAACTTTTCAGAATCCTGCTTTCTTGAACATGAAAAATATATTTTATCATTTGACTTACCACTTATTAATCATCAAAATTTTCACTAGAGCTTCATATTTAGTTCAATTTTCCATCTATGTAGCACTTGGTTTGAATAGTCCACAATTATGAATAGGTATCTCGAGTTTCCAACATTTAAATACACTGTATACTCATCACTTGCCCTAAATATTTTTCCAATTACTCTCTTTATTTATCTCTATCATCTCCATTTGAGTTTTATTTTTTATTTTTATCTCTCTTCCATCTTTACACTCTTATCTTTTTCTATTGTTAATGGAATTGCATAGGATCAAATTTCCAAGAGTTAAAAAAGAACTAAAAAGACAAGATCCAGTGAAAACTTCACTGGCCATGTTATGTTACAAGAAGATTCAAATAAAGTACATTTAGAGTCTTCATATTTATTTGACAAAGTACAAAAGTACAAACAAAAAACACTTCCTTAAACAGATTTTCATTATTAAAATTTATAAAACTTACATTAAACTTACCAAGGTAAGCCAAGATCTGGCAAATAATTCTCTGATTCTGGCCACTGTTCTAAACACCTTTCATCTTCTGCATTCAACCAAGTAGGATCAAACTCCATGAACTCATCAAAGACATGACGACATGCATCCTCTTGTGGTGCATCATTTTCCATTTTCTTCAAGATATTGGACCACAAAGTTGATGTAACCAAATTCATAGTGTCATTCCATTCCATCTGATATTGCTCTCCCAATGATCTCATCTCTTCCATACCTTCATCATCCATGGCTGCATGAGAGCCTCCTTCCTTCACCTGGTTTGTAGGACTTGATTCAATGGTATGCACCATTGAAGAAGCATCTTCTCCTTGTGATATTTCTTTAATAGAAGGAATTTCGAGATCGTTTGTTGGATAAAGTGGAGGAGATAAAGATGGTGGAGGTGAATAAGAAATAAAGGATAAGTCATTATTGTTGTTGTTGTCGTCGTCAAGTAAAAGGGTAGAATCTAAGGTGTTGAAATCATGTAAAGTAAGGTTCAATCCTAGAGTTTGGTTTGGGAGGGTAATGTTGGAATTTTCAACCAAGAGGTTTGGTGAAAATGATGAAGAAATAGGCCATGTTGGAAGTGAGAGAGAAGGATGAGAGAAAGAAGAAGAAGAAGGAGGATAGGAAAAATCATTTGATAAATTGTTTATGCATGATGGATAAATCCTAGGATTTCTCCTAGACAACCTTAAATCTTGCTCAAAGTCAAAACTTGAAAGTTGTTGGTTGGAATGAGACAACCTTAAATCTTGTTGTTGTTGGTATATTTGGTGTTTCTCTTCTTCTCTAGCTTGTATCTTAGATGCTCTATGAAATTTCAAGGCAGTGACAATTTCTCTTCTAGCTTCAGCCATATTAAGAAGCTTTTCTTGGTAAGGTCTAGTAGTATGAAGCCTTCTTCTACCTTGTTTTTTGTGAACTTTGACATGTTTCCTTAAATTTTGATGCTCATGATGATGTTTGGTGTTCATGGTTTCTTTTGGTTTTTTTGTGGTTGCTAATTGTTTCACTAGGCTACGAATGTAGGCACTAGAGAGAGAAGGGTCTTGTTCTATTTCCATCACAATTAGTGTGAATACAATCAAGAGAGTTTTTTCTCTTATAGTAAAATTTTGAGACATAAAAAGTGTACATAATTAAGATTTTATATTATGAAAATAGAGGTGTTGATATCGTTTTATGGCGATCTTATTCAATGTAGTTTTTTTAAAACCTATGCAGATAATATTGAAGATTATTTGAAGGGAAGTGCTGGTCCTATTTGATAAAATTCATTGTTGTTATAAATAGTTGGGACCAACATAAGGCTTTTATTTTTTTATTTTGGATTTTTCATTGTTTTGGTAAACTATGTTTATTAGTATTTAATTTTTTTTATTATCATGCTTTAAATATGGGTTCCTTATGAATGAGCAGTGGTCACTTTCTGTCTCAGTTATAGGCCATGCCATGTCTTCAAGACTTTCAACTATAAAAATACAAATCTTGCCTCTTTTTGCTTAATGCTACACCAATTAGAAAATTGCTTCTCTTCTACTATAATAAATTAGGAGAAAACAGGTGGCATCTTTAATGTATTTTTATGACAACATAATTTATTTATTGTTTTTATTACAATTAAAGGTTGTAAATTTACAAACTATACAAATAAAAATATAATGAAATTGGATAGAGATGATGTTTTGAGAGAAATTATCATAGCTAAAAGTATACCATGTTGGAAAGTAAGGATCACTGTGGATATGATATCTTATAAGGATAAATGTAACATACATTTTAGTTTAAAACAAATATTAAAACTAAACTTTTATAATTAAATAAAAATAGAATTTGATTTTTTTTAAATGTTGAAAAGAAAACTAAAATATGAATAATTATTTAAACATATTAAAGTAATTTAGTTTAAATTAATTTCATTATATTTTTAGATAAATAAATTAAAATTTCAGAAAAATCGTATATAATTAATATGACCAAGTAAAAAAATACAGGATTGCCCTTTAATTTAATTTATTTATTTGAGTTTTTAATATTTATATAATTCGACTCGAGTAACTTTTGTATGAGTTATTTCAATACATAATTTGAGTAATTAATTTGATCATATTACTGAATTATTGGTCGGACTAATGAATCGACCGCATGACTTTTAATAATATGAAAATATAGTTTTATTTTTATTTGGTAATATGTTTTTTTTAAATTTGTGTTAATTTATAATATTGTTATATTGTTTAATTAATTTTTAAATTTTTTAAATTTTTTAAATTATTTTATTTTATGATTAATAATAAATAAATTTAATGAGAATTGTATTAGAGAGGATTGTTGTAATTGTAGAATATATAACTCTTCCCTTTTATCAAATTAAACATAAAAGAAAATTATGATACACTTCATAAAACTACAATTCAAATAGTTTTGAAAATTTACAGTTCCGATATTTAATATTTTACAAAATTTTATTGTTATAATTTTAATATTATTTAATTATTATAAATAATTAATATAATTATAAATATTAATAAAATTAAATTTAAAATAGGACACTAAAAAAAATGAAAATAGGAGATTAAAATTATACTTAATTAAAAAAATAAAAATAAAAAGATCAACCAATTGATTTAAGAAACGTATCGATTCTCTAATTTGACTAATGAGTCGGTCGGATCACACTAGTTTTTACTAGATCAATTGTAACTATGGTTTGATAATCTTACCAAACTGCTATATCCTTTAGTTCACAGTCTAACTGGTCTGATCGGTCCAGATTTTAATAACTCTTTGAACACATTAAATTTTATGAATTTAATCATCAAGTTAATAATTTTTATTGAATAGAACAAATTTATAATTGTTTATAAAGTTATAAAATTATTTAATACTTAAAATTAAATATTACAAAATAGGGCCAAATTCCATTTAAAATATTATATTAAATAGAAACTTTAATTTTTTTTGCTTAGGTAAGTTGAATATCATCATTCGAGTCTGTTGGGAATCCAGACAATGGAGTATTGATTCAAATAGTTATCCTAAGATAGATATACACAAATCCTGCATACCTCATCCTTAACCCACATAAACATAAACGGAGTCTTCTTTTTTGTTCTATTTTTTTGTTTGTGAAATTAATCGAAAAATAGATTAGATTCCTCAACTAGAAAATAAAAATCACAAGTGAATGAGTCACAAATAAAGATGAAATATGATATAGAACAATTAACACTCGACTACGGTCTAGGCTAAGTTTGTCTTTTTTTTTTAAATAAAAATGTCTAGGCTTTTTTTAGGGCAGGCTAGAAAATTCAATGGTCGCGGTCCTCATAATTTAACAATCTATCAAGACACTTGCGATGTATGCGTATTATTCTAAATTAGAGCGTAGACAATTTGAATTTTGAATTTATCAAATGGCTCTCTGCATCCTATGTCTATGTCTGAAAATCAATATATCGTAATAATCGTTCCATTATATAAGAAGGAAGCACGTCATTTTTCAAGTACAATTCAAACTCAAATTTTATTCACTTATCTTACTCACATACTAACTTGAGCATTGAAGTGTTAACCTTGCATGTTAGCCTTTCTCTCGCTGAACCGAAAGCTCAAGGCCACCGTTACCTCTCGCAACTTCCAATCTCTGATAAATTCCAATTCCCTAGTGGAACAATGACGTTGTACGTGGGAGTCAACATTTGATTCATACGTTTTCCATGTTCAAATATTCATTCATTGATTCATCAAATTGGAGCTTCTTTAGCCCAGCGATTCAGATTCCCTTATATCGAGCATCAATATCTATTCTTGATCTACCACGTTCTTAGATCAACTCCAATGATCAGTTTCTTAGATCTTTGATCTTCAAATCTTCCCACGATGGTTGGTTCGAAAGCCACTAGCACTACTGCGCTGTGTGAGGTTGTTGCAATTGCTTCAACTACGAGAAATCCACCGCCTCCTCCTTAAAAGGAGGTGATCAGGACATCACAAGCATTCTACTACATCAAAATCCTTTTTCTCCTCCAACAATCATAGGTTTGACTCCACATCTCCAACAAGGTGAATTGTCCTTCTGCCCTCCAGCAACACCAATAGTATAACAACCATAATCACTGCTTGTTCCAATTGTTGCAGGCCAACCTCAACGTGTAAGGTGCAAGTGAACTTTTAAATAACATGTATAATATGGTTCGAAAACAAAATTCGCATGCGATGGAGGAGAGGTTAATTCGTTTTGAAGAAAACATACATAATGCTAATCTAAGAGGCAATATAGTGTAAGAGGCCATATCCTGGAGGAGTCGTGCCATTATTCTTTAGCCAACCACGTGTCGCAAGGTTGCAACCCCTAGATCTTCGATTTGTCAAAGAAGCTAAGGGCATCAGACTCTTCCCCACGGTCCCAAAAGAGGTTGAGGTAGTTATGTTCCCCATGAGGAACAAGTTGAGAAGCTTCCAACAAAAAAATCAATAGATGAATACTTTTTTCGAATGCATCCTTGACAGTTGAATACCAAAGTATTTGGAGAAACCTCTAAAGCTTCGCGATTACGACGAGAAAGGAGATCCAGAAGAACATGCTCACCATGTTAATGACTACTTAACATTATTACCTCGTCGATGAGACATCCCAACACAAATACTTGGGGGTGTTGTGTGTGTGTGAATATCAAATAAAAAGATATTAGGTTTTATTTAAATCTGCTAAGTCTCATTGCTGATGATTGTGCTTATTTGTATTCGATTAATCTGACATGAATGCGACGAACTAACGTAACTGTTATACCTAACCCCTTGGTGTATAACTCACTAACTTATACGAAAAACTCCATAATTTCTTAGGCCAATTCGAAGATAAATTAGAAAAATTTGGAACGTTAAGTCACAAGTCACGGCTTAAATTTATTTATCTCTAAATCAATTGTTAAGGCGAACAATTACTCTAGATCAGGATTATAGGGTTAAAATCAGTAATTCCTACAATCCTAAGTTCAATATGTGTGCTCGTCAAACACATACAAAACAATGCACAAAAGAGTAACTACATAAACGCGCTTTATTAATTTAAGAAAACAATACATAAACAGATTAAGTGTCATAATAGATCAAACAAAGGTTTGTCTCCTAAAACCTAATCAAACGATAAATTAGCTACTAATGGTAGCATAATTCATCCAATAGATATTGAGAAGAAATCCATGAATTTTCGATAAAAATTAGTCTTCAAATGATGAAAACCTTTTGTTTCGGAGCTCCAATGTGTTCTTCATTCGTCAAAACTACTTTAGAAATCATGCCAAAATCTACAACTTGTAAAACCCAAAATTTTCCCTTTTAAACACGTTTGAAAATTGGATAAATCGTGTAATGATGCTTTTTCATTGTGTCACAGTTCGAGTAACTAATGTAGGAGAGTGGCACGATCCTTTTTCATCGGGCCACAAAGCGTAACTATAACTATGATACCAATTTCCTTAATTAAAATTGTAAGTATAATCAATTTTAAAAAGTATAACTGATTCTACTAAAAAAAAATCAAATTTATCATTAAAAAGTATAACTAATTCTACTAAAAAAAATCAAATTTATCATCACCAATTCTACATATTCAAAAGTAACAAAAAGGAAAAATATTATGATAAATTAATGTTTGTTGTTTTGACATTTCCTTTGTAATACACATTAGATCAATTAAGAATATTAGAGCTTCCGACACAATTATTCTATTGTCTTACCAGCTTTTTAAATTATATTCTATAGTCACGTTTTACCTGAACTGATACAGGTGATGCTACAGGTACACTGTCCCATAGTAATAATTTGTGAATATAATTGTAGTACAGAAAGTACTATTTGTGACCCCAAAAGGAAAATCATTTTCTTCATGACTTTGTGCAATCAAACAAAAATCAAGAAGTTCGAAATCTCTCCATACATATATATCCCACATGATATCTTTATGTTAAGTAATCACCACATGATATAGGAGTTTGTGCATTTACTATATATATGCATATACTAGTGTAGTTTATGTTGAACCTCAATATGATCAATTTAG